TAACAATAATATAAAAAAATCGGGGAAAATCAGCTGCCAGGCTACCGGGAATTGTCCAAAAAATGTCAACAGAGACACGCAGAACGTGCAGGATTCATATATTATAGTCTTTTTGCTGCTGAATATTTACAGACCATAGTCCATATCGCGTTTTGATTAAAGTGTACTGACCTGCTTTTGATTTATTCATCCAAATGTTACATATTCCGTGACATTCCGCGTTATGGAAGTTCCAACCAGTCCGTGTTTTCATAGGGCCGTATGTCTCATATTTTAAAATACGAAAGAAAGAAAGAAATCAATTCAATCTGGATGTGGATGTGTGTAAATATTCAAATGTAACCCCCTTTGTAAATGTCGTTAACATTTTCATAAGTAACTGTAATTTAATTACACGTGTTTTCTTAGTAACTGTAACGGATTACAGTTACATTTATTTTGTAATTAAATTACGTTACATGTAACTAGTTACTTCCCAACACTGATTATGGTATATGTAAAGATGATATATGTTATTTAATTAATAAAAGCAATTGCTGCATATCGAAAGTTTGGGTTTGTTTTAAAATCTTAAATAAAACTGCTATAATAAATACAAATACTACCATGTTTTTGTAAATGCACCATGGTATAAATCAAAGTACTACTGTACTGCTGATCCTGTCACCAGACTTTTAGCAAGGGAAATTCTCAATTGAATGTTCAGAATCTGGTTTAGAATGCTGTTGACGTAATGCCAAATTATTTGACTAAGACTATTTCAAATCTAGTCTCTGTTTCATTAAAGTCAAAGTTTTGTAAATACAACATTGCCGAACATTTCCCCAACACACGAAGTCATTTCTGCGCCACTAGCCTCATCAAACAGAATTGCAAGAATTTGACAGTTTTCAAACAGGTTTCTCGAACACATCCCTCCTCCTCCATTGGTTGAGCAAACAGATAACCCCGCCCCCAAACTCACGCCATTGGAGGTTGTCAGGATGCTCAAAAAAGCAGAGCAATTAGTTACTTGAAAACGCGTTTAATTATCCCATATCTTCCTTATTTGACCTAGTTATTTCCACATATTAAAGTTTGATAGGAAGTATTTTTACGTCGAAAAAATAGAGCGTCCCCTTTAATCAGAACACTGATGGAGGTAAAAGCGCTCCATAACAGAAAGCCTTGAAGGTAACTCCTAAATACCCTATAAAAAGTTTAATGCACCCCTATGTTGAGCTCTTAGGAGGAACAAAATTCGCCCTTTCTTATCAGTTCATCTTTCATTTTTTCATATAACCTCATTTAACCCAGATGTTACCGCTATAAGGGCAAAAGTCAGTTTTTCTCCTTTGCACGCCTACATCTTTTGTGCAGTATTGACTCAGGAAGAGGCGTGTCCAGGTATCACAACGCACTATAAAACATCATGTAACAAAAGGAGTGTCTCAGCCTGCTGTATCTACATATTGTCTGTCCGACTGGAGCTTTTGTGATCACCACATGGGGTAAGCCGGAATAAAAAAAAATGTATTTGCATATTAAATTGCAAATGCTATAGAAAACGGTTTCATTCAGTCTGGACTGTCTGGTAAACAGCTATCACAGACCATTACAATTTTGTATTTTTTATTTACAAATGTGAATATAGGGGACAGAGTTTTTAAAATTAAAATAACTACTTTTTTAAAGCTAAAATTATTTTATTGTATGCGTTTCCGATTAGGCTATATCATATTTCACTTGTAGGCTAATACACGTCCGTTTATGTTGTAACCGGTTAGGTAACATGCATGCGGGTTGAATGAATTTAAACTCAGAGATGAGCTTATGCAATAGTAACACCCAACATGCTAGATAATGACAGTAAAAGCATATATGTAAAACACCTCTTTATGAGTAGTTATAGGTCCTGGCTCTATATATAAGAAAATATGAATGCAGTAGTATGTTTTTCAGTTCTAAATCAATACTATTTTTTCATCTCCTCTGAGCATTTACTCAAATAAAAAATTTCGAAAGCCATTGTTTACATTACTAAAAAATATTATTTATTTATTTGTTTAGTTAAAGCTATATGGGCTTCTTGAGTTAGGCCTACCTTTAAGGTTCTTTAGAGATTTTAAATGTTCAACATGTTACATTTACTCTATATAAGTTCTTCAGATGAGTGTCTTGGTTTCCTTTTAAATCACCATTACATTGATTGTTTTCTTAAAAATGCAGATTTAAAAAAAAAGAATGCAAAACCTTTTTAAATGCGTACATCCTTTTGAACCAGCATTGCTTACAGCGATTGATTAATTAATTGAATGTTTTATCTAGCAACACAAACACTGTGCTATCACAATGAACGAAGAGCCGAGCGTTCCGTCGACAGACCCTCCTCCTTACTTGCAAGGTGTGTTCTATATATTCATTTACATTTTACATTTACATTCATTCATGCATTTTTCTTCCCAAAATGACTAGCAGCCAACAATATTCATAGTACACAATGGCAAGTCTAAAATAAAAATTTGATTGGTATAGTTTGAGTAGAAGCACAGTGTTGGGAAGGTTACTTTGGAAATTTAATAGGTTACAGATTACAAGTTACCCTATTTAAAATGTTTAATTTAAAATTACTTTATTAAAGTAAAGATTACTTTTGATTACTTTTCTAAATGTCTAATGAATGCTTTCAACTGTTAATCATTTTCAAACATTTACACCATGCAGGGTTAAGCTTACAGTAGTGCTCGACACTGATACTGCCAGACTTTCAAAATCCTTCATCACTTGAATTAAGATGATCGAATTTGAACACATCCACCACAAAATCAGACTTTAGGACCGTCTTTTATTTTGAGATTGATCTGAAGTTCAATGCAGATTTAAAATCATAAGAAATAGTTTACTGATACTGTTTTTGGAACCAAATCTTTGCATAACTACAGGAAACACTGCACTAACAATGCTTTGTTGTTGTTTTTTAAGTACAGTAACCAACTACGGTTTTTTTTTTTTTTTTTGCAAATGGATTACCATTGGTTTTTATTTTTACTACAAATTCCATGGTTAAACTATGGTTAGTGTAGCCAAAACCATGGTTAATAATTTGTGGTTACCATGGTTAGGTAAAATCATTGTTAATTTCCATAAGGGTTGTGCTGTTGTCTGCCCTAGCTCCCCCTAAACCTATTATAAACTATATGATTATTTGTCTGCTAAATTGCTACTGTAACATTACAATAGATAATAATGATGTCCTTTAGTATACAGTATTTTGAGTGATGATTGATGAGCAATGGGCTACTACTGCTTTAACAAAGACAAAACTACAATAGCATATTTACAGATGAAACTGACCTGCACTTGAAATCCTGAACATTAATTTTGCTTCTCTGCTCCACCTGTACGCTTATACACTCAACTCGAATCTCTTGCATTGATTACTCTGATCTAAACCGTTTGGCGGAGGCGCGAGCCGAAGTGCGTTCCCAATCACGACTAACTGATTCGTGATTTATTAAAGATTTATTATCGAATGTCGAATTCGGAAACAATCGCTTTAGTACATTCGGCAGGCAATAATATAATAACAATAATATAAAAAAATCGGGGAAAATCAGCTGCCAGGCTACCGGGAATTGTCCAAAAAATGTCAACAGAGACACGCAGAACGTGCAGGATTCATATATTATAGTCTTTTTGCTGCTGAATATTTACAGACCATAGTCCATATCGCGTTTTGATTAAAGTGTACTGACCTGCTTTTGATTTATTCATCCAAATGTTACATATTCCGTGACATTCCGCGTTATGGAAGTTCCAACCAGTCCGTGTTTTCATAGGGCCGTATGTCTCATATTTTAAAATACGAAAGAAAGAAAGAAATCAATTCAATCTGGATGTGGATGTGTGTAAATATTCAAATGTAACCCCCTTTGTAAATGTCGTTAACATTTTCATAAGTAACTGTAATTTAATTACACGTGTTTTCTTAGTAACTGTAACGGATTACAGTTACATTTATTTTGTAATTAAATTACGTTACATGTAACTAGTTACTTCCCAACACTGATTATGGTATATGTAAAGATGATATATGTTATTTAATTAATAAAAGCAATTGCTGCATATCGAAAGTTTGGGTTTGTTTTAAAATCTTAAATAAAACTGCTATAATAAATACAAATACTACCATGTTTTTGTAAATGCACCATGGTATAAATCAAAGTACTACTGTACTGCTGATCCTGTCACCAGACTTTTAGCAAGGGAAATTCTCAATTGAATGTTCAGAATCTGGTTTAGAATGCTGTTGACGTAATGCCAAATTATTTGACTAAGACTATTTCAAATCTAGTCTCTGTTTCATTAAAGTCAAAGTTTTGTAAATACAACATTGCCGAACATTTCCCCAACACACGAAGTCATTTCTGCGCCACTAGCCTCATCAAACAGAATTGCAAGAATTTGACAGTTTTCAAACAGGTTTCTCGAACACATCCCTCCTCCTCCATTGGTTGAGCAAACAGATAACCCCGCCCCCAAACTCACGCCATTGGAGGTTGTCAGGATGCTCAAAAAAGCAGAGCAATTAGTTACTTGAAAACGCGTTTAATTATCCCATATCTTCCTTATTTGACCTAGTTATTTCCACATATTAAAGTTTGATAGGAAGTATTTTTACGTCGAAAAAATAGAGCGTCCCCTTTAATCAGAACACTGATGGAGGCGAAAGCGCTCCATAACAGAAAGCCTTGAAGGTAACTCCTAAATACCCTATAAAAAGTTTAATGCACCCCTATGTTGAGCTCTTAGGAGGAACAAAATTCGCCCTTTCTTATCAGTTCATCTTTCATTTTTTCATATAACCTCATTTAACCCAGATGTTACCGCTATAAGGGCAAAAGTCAGTTTTTCTCCTTTGCACGCCTACATCTTTTGTGCAGTATTGACTCAGGAAGAGGCGTGTCCAGGTATCACAACGCACTATAAAACATCATGTAACAAAAGGAGTGTCTCAGCCTGCTGTATCTACATATTGTCTGTCCGACTGGAGCTTTTGTGATCACCACATGGGGTAAGCCGGAATAAAAAAAAATGTATTTGCATATTAAATTGCAAATGCTATAGAAAACGGTTTCATTCAGTCTGGACTGTCTGGTAAACAGCTATCACAGACCATTACAATTTTGTATTTTTTATTTACAAATGTGAATATAGGGGACAGAGTTTTTAAAATTAAAATAACTACTTTTTTAAAGCTAAAATTATTTTATTGTATGCGTTTCCGATTAGGCTATATCATATTTCACTTGTAGGCTAATAGGCTACACGTCCGTTTATGTTGTAACCGGTTAGGTAACATGCATGCGGGTTGAATGAATTTAAACTCAGAGATGAGCTTATGCAATAGTAACACCCAACATGCTAGATAATGACAGTAAAAGCATATATGTAAAACACCTCTTTATGAGTAGTTATAGGTCCTGGCTCTATATATAAGAAAATATGAATGCAGTAGTATGTTTTTCAGTTCTAAATCAATACTATTTTTTCATCTCCTCTGAGCATTTACTCAAATCAAAAATTTCGAAAGCCATTGTTTACATTACTAAAAAATATTATTTATTTATTTGTTTAGTTAAAGCTATATGGGCTTCTTGAGTTAGGCCTACCTTTAAGGTTCTTTAGAGATTTTAAATGTTCAACATGTTACATTTACTCTATATAAGTTCTTCAGATGAGTGTCTTGGTTTCCTTTTAAATCACCATTACATTGATTGTTTTCTTAAAAATGCAGATTTAAAAAAAAAGAATGCAAAACCTTTTTAAATGCGTACATCCTTTTGAACCAGCATTGCTTACAGCGATTGATTAATTAATTGAATGTTTTATCTAGCAACACAAACACTGTGCTATCACAATGAACGAAGAGCCGAGCGTTCCGTCGACAGACCCTCCTCCTTACTTGCAAGGTGTGTTCTATATATTCATTTACATTTTACATTTACATTCATTCATGCATTTTTCTTCCCAAAATGACTAGCAGCCAACAATATTCATAGTACACAATGGCAAGTCTAAAATAAAAATTTGATTGGTATAGTTTGAGTAGAAGTCATTTCATGAAATGGCAATTCTAAATATATGTATATCTATATGATTTGTGTCATTTGTAAAATGCTGCGTCATTTAGAGTTAATTATTTATATTCGACAGACACCTTAGACTTACGCCACCTGTTCATTAAGTAAGCCTAAACCTCTTGTGTGCAGAGGTGATCCCCGAGGGCTTTGTTAACCTAGCTTACACCCAGGATGAGAAACCTCAGGAAGACAAACCAGAGGAGCCACCGAAGGAGTCCTCTGGGAAATCAAAGGGCAAAGGGTAAATGTGACCAAAAAGCAGAGTTTTTGTAGTTGTGGGATGTGTCTGATTTGTATGAGATTGTTTTAGATGAGTCTTGTCGTTTGTAAGTAGATTAATTTGTAATATAAATAAATGTGTCTATTTACATTCAGTCAGAAATGAACCAGAGCTGGGGGCAAAAATTCCCCAGAAAGTTTTCAGAATTCTCTAGATTTTTAAAATGTTCATCAGTACACCTCTAGTGTTTTTAACTGATAATCTAATACAGGGGTTTCAAAACGGGGACCCCCAGTGGTCTTCAAGGGACTGTTAAGACAGTCGATGTACAATTTTAGGAGGAAAAACAAACAAACAAAATTTTGTTAAAATCTTAATTCGACATTTATTGTTATTATTTGACATTGGTTATTTTATATTAATACATTTTATTATAATATAAAATCATATTTATAATTTTTTTATTATTTCCTTTTCATTTTTATGTTTTTTGAGAGCCATAGTTTTAATGGAAAATATTTGTTACTGTTGCTTAGTATTTACAAATTGAAACAATTTAAAATATTATAATTTCTCTTTGGCATTGCCACCAGCTTGCTCGTTGTTTTTGTTTTTTTTCTTCAGTATTCTCTGGATAACCACTTTGGAACTATATTGTGAAAAGCAATATTCAAAAACATTTGAATTGAATTAAATACATTAAATAGTCCAATAATATTTTAATAATTTCTTTTGGTTATAACATCAATGACAATTACTTAATAAAAATGTTTTTATGTCATATATAAAATATATTTTATGCTATATATATTTATAATATTCTGTTCTATTTTTGCTATGGATTTAGACACCACAGTGACTGTATCAATCTTTATTTGACACCTCTAACTCTAGCACTCTCTATTCTAATTCTATTCTTTAAAAAAAAACTTGCCCCTTTCAGACTTACACTCTATTTATATACTAACTGCTTTTCTTAAAAACAAACAAAACCTAACACTAGCTTCTCTAATCTATTTGTATTCTATCTATTGGTTTTCTTTTTTATTGTACAATCAACAAAAGCAAAAAAGGCCTCTAACACTAGCTTGCTCTATTCTTTTTCTATTCTATCTATTATATAATTAAAAAAAGAAAACCTTGCTAAGAGTACTGCGTTAAGTGAGACTTGTTATAACACTTGCATATCATTGCTTGCATTTGATTGCTTCTATTGTCCTCATTTGTGAGTCGCTTTTAAGCGTCTGCTAAATGACTAAATGTAAATGTATCAATTAATTCATACAGTTTTTCAAGTTCAATTCAAGTATTTGTCATAAAAGGATAATCATAATGACATAAATCGACCTTTTATATGCCTCTTAATATGCCTTCATAAAGGTAAACAAACTGAAACTAACAATTTTTTTTTATAGTTAAAATATTAAAATATAAATTTTAATTAATTAACATATAAAATGTATAAATATAAAGATTATTTTATTTTAAATTAAAGATTTAAAATAGTGTCCCTTAATTATAAATAAATCTGAAAACTTAAATGGACTATTTCTTGTTTCAATAGCAAAAAGGAAAAAAAGTCCAAAAAGAAGAAAGAGCCAGTGAAAACGGTTGGGTTTTTTCAGCTGGTAAGTGCGCATCTCTTCAAACATCACACAATTCTTTTGCAGCGTTGTGATATAACATGCCGTGATAAGCCCTGAGGACAGCAGTCATGTGTTTGACTCACATGTTTGTTGTGCTGCAGTTTCGTTATGCCACCTGCCTGGAGGTGAAGTGAGACTTGTTATAACACTTGCATATCATTGCTTGCATTTGATTGCTTCTATTGTCCTCATTTGTGAGTCGCTTTGAATAAAAGCATCTGCTAAATGACTAAATGTAAATGTATCAATTAATTCATACAGTTTTTCAAGTTCAATTCAAGTATTTGTCATAAAAGGATAATCATAATGACATAAATCGACCTTTTATATGCCTCTTAATATGCCTTCATAAAGGTAAACAAACTGAAACTAAAATTTTTTTTTTATAGTTAAAATATTAAAATATAAATTTTAATTAATTAACATGTAAAATGTATAAATATAAAGATTATTTTATTTTAAATTAAAGATTTAAAATAGTGTCCCTTAATTATAAATAAATCTGAAACCTTAAATGGACTATATCTTGTTTCAATAGCAAAAAGGAAAAAAAGTCCAAAAAGAAGAAAGAGCCAGTGAAAACGGTTGGGTTTTTTCAGCTGGTAAGTGCGCATCTCTTCAAACATCACACAATTCTTTAGCAGCGTTGTGATATAACATGCCGTGATAAGCCCTGAGGACAGCAGTCATGTGTTTGACTCACATGTTTGTTGTGCTGCAGTTTCGTTATGCCACCTGCCTGGAGGTTCTGCTTATGCTGATTGGCCTGCTGTGTGCAGGTGCACATGGCGTTGCCTTGCCTCTCATGTGCGTGGTTTTCGGAGAAATGACTGACAGCTTTGTGTTGAGTGGGCATACCGCTAATCTGACAGGTATATCTAATAGCACAATAAAGAAACATCCATCTAAACGCGGGTAAATTCATGTGGTTGAAACATAAGTCCTTGTCAAATATATCTCTTTGAAAGTCTGTCATAGAATGGACTGATTTGAATTGCTAATGTAAACTTTACCCTTAGTGTTAGAGCTCAGCAATCATCTCATAAATATTTACTTTAATGTGGTGGTCTGGTACTGGTACAACTGTTTTCAGTAACTGTTTCTCCCAAATGTTTGCAGACAACTTCACCTTCACCCTCACGAACTCTTCAACGTGTTTGGCTGGTTCTCCTGAAATAGGCATCGAAGCCAAAATGACAGAGTGAGGAGCCGATTCACTCTCATCCAGTTCTCCTGTTAATCATTTAGTGGCATTTCTTAATTCTTTTTTACATTTGTGACTAAGTTCGAATCTTCCACCTTTGCTTCAGTCACTTCTTTGTTGGACCTTGATCTAATGTGCTGGTTTATTTACACAGACACGCTTATTACTTCGTTGCGATCGGGGCTGCGGTCCTGCTCCTGGGGACCTTCCAGGTCATGCTTTTCCTGCTAACTGCTGCGAAGCAAACGAAGAGGATCCGGGAGAAGTACTTTCATGCCATCCTCCACCAGCAGATGTCATGGTTTGACACGCATCAGATCGGAGAGCTGAACATAAGACTTACTGAGTGCGTGCCACGATCCAGACTCTTGTTTCTGTCAGCTGATCAGTTCTTTGGTTACGTCTCAGGTGTTTAAGTGTCAAATGTATGCATCTCCATTCTTTCCCCCAATGCAGTGATATAAACACAATCAACGATGGCCTCGGGGACAAAATCTGTGTGTTTGTCCAGTTCTTCTGCACATTTATTGCTGGTTTCATCATTGGGTTTATCTACGGCTGGAAGCTGACGCTGGTCATTCTTGCTGTCAGTCCTCTGCTGGCAGGTTCAGCAGCTGTTTGGTCTATAGTATGTATTATGTCACATATCATTGATTTTTTACATTTATTTGTAAATATCTTACCTTTTTGTCGCCTATAGATTCTTGTGATGATTAAATCAAATTAAATGATGATCAAATTAAAATATAAAATATATATGATCAAAATACAAATATTAAAAAATGATTATATATATTCACCTTCAATTTTTTTCAATTTTGTTCTATCCTTTTTAAATATCTTTATTGTAATCATTTTTATTTTTTCTAAAGGTAAATATCTGACCTTTTTGTCGCCTATAGATTCTTGTGATGATTAAAATAAATTAAATTATGATCAAATTAAAATATAAAATATATATTGTTAAAATAAAACTATTGAAAAATGAAAAAAATCATTATATATATATATACTGTAAACTCAATATATTCTATTTTTTCTATAAATTTTAAATATATTTATTTTAGTAATTTATCTTTTTATTTATTTATTTTAGATTTATTTGTAAATATTGATTTATTTGGCACCTATAGATTCTTGTGATGATTAAAATAAATTTAATTATGATCAAATTAAAATAGAAGATATATATTATTAAAATAATATTTTAAAAATCATCATTTTATGTATATATAAACACCTCAATATATATTAAAAATGTTTCTATAAATTTTAAATATATTTATTTTAGTAATTTATATTTTTAATTATTTATTTTTGATTTATTTGTAAATATCTTACCTTTTTGTCCCCTATAGATTCTTGTGATTAGTAAATTAAATTAGACTATGATTAAATTAAAATATAAGAATATAAACATTTTATTCTTATATTTAAAATATTAAAATAAAATAAAAATATTCTTATATATATATATAATTATATATATTATATATATTATTATATTATTATTATTTATATATATTATTATTATGTATATATACGTATATAAATATCTTTATTTTATTTTAAAATTTATTTGTAAATATCTTCCCTTTTTGTCGCCAATAGATTCTTGCTACTCTGACCAGTAAGGAGCTTTCAGCATATGCTAAAGCAGGAGCGGTAGCTGAAGAGATTCTAGTCGCTATCAGGACTGTTGTGGCATTTAATGGACAGAAAAAAGCAGTGGAAAAGTGAGAACATTCTGTTCTTTTCACTCATCACCATAAGTTCACAACTGTTTTGTCACTTAAACAGAGGAGATAAGATTGGGCGTTCTTCTAAATGTCAAGAATGTGATCAAGCTGTTCTGAATGTGTCCGTTAAAAGATGAATGGTTTTCTGTGACAAACTATTTTCTGTATTCTAGGTATGAGAAGAACTTGATAGAAGCAAAGAATTTTGGGATAAAGAAAGCCATTACCACTAATGTGTCCATGGGTTTGACACAGTTCATTATATTTGGCACTTACGCACTGGCGTTTTGGTATGGGACAAAACTCTCTGTGGACGAGCCAGAGAATTACTCAATTGGAAAGGTCCTCACTGTAAGTTTGTTAAACTTGTAAAAAAACACTTTGATCTGTTTCTGAATAAAGTCACAGCAGGAGATGTTTCTTGACCACCAGCGTTGTTACTTTTGACCGCAGGTTTTCTTCTCTGTGATGATTGGCTCCTTCTCTTTGGGTCAGGGAGCTCCAAACCTGGAGAGCATCGCTAAGGCCCGGGGTGCTGCTTATGAGGTCTACAAAACAATTGACATGGTACAAACTTTCAGTCTATCTTCATTCTTTATAATGAAGTTCATATTTATTATATTTATACCCATATTGTTATTCTGGATGACTTATTTCTGTTCCTGTTACCTGATGCAGCCTCGTCCCATTGACAGCAGTTCAAATGAAGGTCACAAACCAGATCATGTGAAAGGAGATATTGAATTCAAGAACATCCACTTCAGCTATCCCTCCAGAAAAGATGTGAAGGTAGAGTTGCATATTTTCCCACCTGTCAGGAACTTTATTATTGATACTATCCATTGTATTTATTGAAGTTATTACTTAATAAAATTATATTGGTTTTAATTATTTGTTTAATAAATATAATTAATAGTTTTAAAAATGATAACCAGTAAATACTGTTTGTTTACATAAAAAAATATTGCTTTTAAAGATTAATTTAACTCAAAGTGAGCATTAGAGGGTGGCAAAGGTAATTTAAATGTAAAAATAAAGGAAAAGGCGTGCACAAAAAGACTCATATCATATAGAGATATACATTATTGACTAATACTGATACATTTAAAGGGATAGTTCACCCAAAAATAAAAATTCTGTCATTAACTACTCGCCCTCATGTCGTTTCAAACCCGTAAGGACCTTTGTTCATCTTCGGAACACAAATTAAGATTTTTTTTTTTGATGAAATCCGAGAGCTTGCTGACCCTGCATAGACAGCAATGCAACTACCACGTTCAAGACCCAGAAAAGTACCAAGATGATCAACAAAGTAGTCCGTGTGACGTCAGTGTTCAACTGTAAAGTTACGATGCTACGAGAATACTTTTTTGCGCAAAGAAAACAAAAATAACGACTTTATTCCACATTTTCGTCTCTACTGCGTCACTTTGGATGCGCGTTCACGACAGTATCATGACGTGAGCGTGTGGCGGCACCAGCGCTGACACAGATCCGCCGTGATGACGTCATTACACCAGATCTGGGTCAGCGCCGCCACACGCTCACACGCTCGTAACTTTACAGTTGAACCACTGATGTCACACGGACTACTTTGTCGATCATCTTGGTACTTTTCTGGACCTTGAACGTGGTAGTTACCTTGCTGTCTATGGGAGGGTCAGAGAGCCCTCAGATTTCATCAAAAATATCTTAAATTGTGTTCCGAAGATGAACAAAGGTCTTACGGGTTTGGAACGACATGAGGGCGAGTAATTAATGACAGAATTTTCATTTTTGGGTGAACTAACCCTTTCAGGGTGAGTAATTTAAGTCTGTAACGTTGCCTCATAACCAATATGGTACTGATATATTGTGCATCTATAGAAATTGTAAACTACTGAGGACTGATTCAATTCATCAAAAATATCTTAAATTGTGTTCCGAAGATGAACAAAGGTCTTACGGGTTTGGAACGACATGAGGGAGAGTAATTAATGACAGAATTGTCATTTTTGGGTGAACTAACCCTTTCAGGGTGAGTAATTTAAGTCTGTAACGTTGCCTCATAACCAATATGGTACTGATATATTGTGCATCTATAGAAATTGTAACCTACTGAGGACTGATTCAATGTGTCTCTGTGCAGATTCTGCAGGGAATGAGTCTGAAAATCCCTCATGGAAAGACCATTGCATTGGTTGGAGCCAGTGGCTGTGGGAAAAGCACAACAATTCAGCTTCTGCAGCGCTTCTATGACCCTGGTTCAGGAGAGGTAACACTGACTAATGAGCAACCGTGAATCATTTCACCTCTCAGTTAAAGCTGCATTCCTTCAATACTTCACGTCACACAAAAAATGATGGAATTCAGTCAGTCTCAGGAAAGAAGAGCTGTTTAATTTATGAAATGTGTACAATTGCAGGTGACTCTGGATGGTCATGATATCCGCTCTCTGAATGTGTGCTGGCTGAGGGAGAACATGGGTATCGTGAGTCAGGAGCCTGTTCTTTTTGGAACCACCATCGCTGAGAACATACGCTACGGCCGTGAAGACGCCACTGATGAAGACATTGAACGAGCCATTAAAGAGGCCAATGCCTACGATTTCATTTCCAAACTACCAGATGTGAGCACCGTACTGTACTTTTTTGTTATTAAAGGTTTTGACTCAGTTCAGCCCCTAAAAATTGAAGGCAAAAAGAAGCTCATCTATGTTTTTAATTTAGACAAAGTAGACTTTTTAATAATGGCCCTTTATCAGTTTTCGGCCATAACATAAAAGAAATGATCTGCTTATTGAAATAGTTTATTAGTAGTTAATAGTTAATTAGCCAGAATTTTAATATTGGTCAACCCCTACTTGGAAATGTTTTGATTTTTGCATTTTGAGCAGATATTATGTATGTGAGCTGCACTACAGTGTATATATATATATATATATATATATATATATATATATATATATACAGTATATATATAAGCAGCATTTATATTATGTGCTGTCTACCTGCTGTTTGCGTGTAATTGTTTGTGAAGTTTACTAGAAATGTCTGAATGAAAATAATTTCTTCACCAGTTTATTTTAGTCTAGTTATGTTAAGTCTGAAAGGGAGTTAGATGTTTTAAAAAATAGTTTTTTTGTTCTGAGACAGAAGCTGAACACTATGGTTGGAGAGAGAGGGGCTCAGCTGAGCGGAGGCCAAAAACAGAGGATCGCTATTGCTCGAGCTCTCGTCAAAAACCCCAAAATTCTCCTGCTGGATGAAGCCACATCAGCCCTGGACACACAGAGCGAGTCCATCATTCAGGCAGCTTTAGATAAGGTGATACAAAACAATTCACCCTGTGACATAAAAGGCATTTCCATGAGTATAGACTACAGTGTGTATATATATATATATATATATATATATATATATATATATATATACAGTATATATATAAGCAGCATTTATATTATGTGCTGTCTACCTGCTGTTTGCGTGTAATTGTTTGTGAAGTTTACTAGAAATGTCTGAATGAAAATAATTTCTTCACCAGTTTATTTTAGTCTAGTTATGTTAAGTCTGAAAGGGAGTTAGATGTTTTAAAAAATAGTTTTTTTGTTCTGAGACAGAAGCTGAACACTATGGTTGGAGAGAGAGGGGCTCAGCTGAGCGGAGGCCAAAAACAGAGGATCGCTATTGCTCGAGCTCTCGTCAAAAACCCCAAAATCCTCCTGCTGGATGAGGCCACATCAGCCCTGGACACACAGAGCGAGTCCATCGTTCAGGCAGCTTTGGACAAGGTAATGTAAAACATACAGTGCATTTCCAATAGTACTGGAATAGAACAGGTTATAGTTGCATATTATGGGTATCTTTTATTACAGTTTTTGTTGTGCTAACAGAGTATTAGCCAACAAATGTGTAACACCGCAGATTAATAATTGTGTATGTTTCTTAGGCCAGAGCAGGACGTACTACCATTGTGATTGCACACCGCCTGTCAACTATTCGTTCGGCAGATATAATTGCTGGCTTCAGTGAAGGCAAAGTGGTGGAACAGGGAACTCACAGAGAACTCATGGCCAAGAAAGGAGTGTATTATTCTCTCGTAATGCAACAGGTACATGTTTGTCTCTCTTCATGGCAACTGTGTAATAATAGCGAGATAGAACGGACTTTATGAACTTCTATGCTGTTGTTTCCTTAAATCAGGGTTTTCAAACCTAACACATTTAACAAATTTGATATTCTTACACATTTGTTTTGCTTTCTAAACTATGAATCATGTAATTAATCATATTTATTTTATTCCATTGACAGCCACTATTTGTAACAGTAATACCAGTAAGAGAAAATAAATGTTTTATTATTACTAAATGTTTATACATCTTATTTCTTTATTCTTACAGTTAGTAGAAAAAATATTAGCATATATATA